GATGATGAGCGTCGTCGTCAAAATGTTGGAAGGCGGATTAGACGTGTCGGATCCGCCTTTAAACCCATTTTTGCATCTAAAATCTGGGGTTGGTGAGGTAGCTGATTCTTTGGGTCAAACAACATGGAATTCTGAAGCAGTCACTGAAGCTAACCCAGAAATGGATATGCCTCTAACAAGGAATAAMGAGATCACGATAGCCTCAACCTAATGTGTCCTCAAGTACCGTTACTCATGATTAAGCTGTATTCGGGACTGTTTACTTTTTAAGCTAAACGATCTTCCAATAAGACAGTATTTTCTTCGATTCACGTTTGTCTTTTTGTTGTTCAAATGCCATGATCTTAGTTTAAATATTTAATAATGTAACTTTATTTATCTAAGGGCCSTTTAMTAAACGCTTACCCGATAAGTAYTTAYCGGGTAATTTTCCTCACTGGATGAACATGGCAAGAGCCAAGTATTTTCCGACAATTATATATGGACTTCAGGAATAAAAATTCATATCAATAAATTTGTAACACCAACAAATATTAATCACCTATTATAAACCCCACAATTTAACTATTCAAGAATCCAACTAACCTAGAAATTATCAAAATCGAAGTTTTATACAACCCGATCCAATTATGGGCCTGTATTAGCTCCACCCTTGATTCTTATAATATTTAATAAGTTCTATACAACCCGATCCAATTGAGTACGAACTCACCTAAAACGGCGTACTAGCTAACTAGCCTAGCGATTAAGCAGGCTTGCCTGACCTCAGTTACGGAATAAATTGAATATAATAAGACTTCAGGAAGTGCTTATCGACCTTAGTCGTCTACTAGGAGATAAGAGTGTTTTTCCTTGGCGATATAAAATTCGTAACAAACTACGTGAACCTCCCAATGAAGCCAACAATCGGTTAAGAACGGCGATGACCTATGTTTCACACGGCACACAATTTCGTTGATAGTTTAATTCAAGATCGTTGAATAAAGAGGGATAAATCTTTCTTTATCCTTCATATTGAATGTAAGGTTTAGGCTTTATCCAATAGTAGTTAAACTCGAGGGTGGTAATAAACTGAAGTTGCTCAGTCTTCTATCCGTTTTTCAAATTTGGATTGTATAACGTTATAAAAGTCACTTAAAGAGATACCTTTCTCATGACAACCTTCCTATGAACTTTCGTATTTAAAGGGTACCTTTCTCGTGTATCGAAATCGTTAGCCTCGATAAACATATGATTATCGTCTTTCTAAAAACTTCTAGATTGTGATATACCGGTATAAAATCAATTTTTTTTAATGTGAAAATGTATTATTTTAGCAATTTTTAAGGAATATAATTTAATAACAATATATATATATATATATATATACTATCTTATAAACCAGATTTATCAAAAGTGTTAGACAATTTTTAATGCACAAAATACTATACATTTATGCATAAAATCTTAAAGTCTTAAAAACAACTCATAATGCGTTAAGTACTACTACTTTATGCATTAAGTCTTAAAATCTCTTAATCTACAATTAAATAACATATAGTATAAGTTACCAATGCACATTATNATATATATATATATATATATATATATATACTATCTTATAAATCAGATTTATCAAAAGTGTTAAACAATTTTTAATGCACAAAATATTATACATTTATGCATAAAGTCTTAAAGTCTTAAAAACAACTCATAATGCATTAAGTACTACTACTTTATGCATTAAATCTTAAAATCTCTTAATCTAAAATTAAATAACATATAGTATAAGTTATCAATGCACATTATTATCTTTTATTTTCATGTTTTCAAGATACTTTTGACACCTTTCACTTATGTCTTCACCCTCTCATACCTCTATGTCTTCTCCCCATCCTCCAAGGTGAGATTCAAACTGATATTCATCATAAGTTATTAAAAGTTCTATCATTCAATTGCTCTAGAACTCTCAATCTCGCTCTCGATCTCTTGATCTTTGCTCGTGGTGTAAATCGAACATATTTGTGAAGTCGTTTAAATATGTTGGATTTTAAATATATTGGACTTTAAACTGTCATACAATTTTTTCATCGATAGACAGTAATTAGAATCATAACTCTTATTTATTCAAATTGTATTAATATGTAAAGACCAATTGCAACTTATATCATCGTTAAATCTTCTCTAATAAAACCAGTAAGACTTCAAAATCGCGGCTCCCGCCGCATTACACGAGTACACAACTAGTATATATATATATAGGGGCTTAATCAAATGAGAACTGTTTTGTTCGTGGTAACCGTGAGATCTAATCTCAACCACACATCCTAATAATCAATGGCTAAAATTGAAAGGAATCTTAATTAATGTAATTCCAAAAATAAATTACTGACATTTAATGACATAATGTAAAGAAGGGCAAGATGGTCATTTTTTTAAATTATTGAGCCGGATTTGAGCGCGCGCTACAAATCCGTTAATATTCTTAATATACACTTTTCAATTCGAATCCAAATTAGAGTGAAGATAGTGCCTGGTTTTCGAGAAGGACACGATTTACCTAAACCCTAGAGTCGATCGCAAGTGGAACCATATACATAATCGATGGATGCTAACGAAAGATTAGGTAAAATCGTTTGATGTTCTACATTTCAATATGAAGAATCCTGTAAACATTGTTTCTGTTCTACATTTCAATATGAAGAATCCCGTAAACATTGTTTATGTGCTACATTGTGATTACATTTAGTATTGATCATAATCTTGTATGTTCAAAAATGGTGTGCTACATTGTGGTATATATATTTATATATGATAGTGTGTGAACAATGTTGTGCTACATTGTGGTGTAGGGTTATCTTGCACAAGTATTCTCTTTTGAGTAACAGCTGCTTGTAATTGCAATTGATGCCTCTTCTCATCATGGAAGGATCACTTATGCATGTGCAGAGCGAATTAAGAAACATTATGATTCCAGGATGCGTAAATCTAGGTATATATGATGAGATGATAAATTTTGGTGGACTAATMTTTATCTGTACAATGCTTCAGGGACTTGTGCATGAAATCTATTGTTCCACTTTYATGCTGTCAACATGTTGGCTCTCCTACTCTCGCAGGTGGTATGACTGTGGGAATACAACTTGGTTAAAAGAGGATAGTAATCAAATTCATATTGTTCTAAGGACCTGCAGTTTACCTCCACCTGTCTGAATGTCAAACAYAAACACAATTCAAATGCATTCCTTAATCATATACAACTTTTTTAGCTTAGGAGGAAAAGACTCGAGTTCGACCATGCCCAAGACAGTCACATGTCGTGTCCTCTCCTYAGACATGTTGAAGACTTTGCTTAACTCAAAAGATGTTGACCCTAGTTTGATCCAACAAGGTAYCGGCATTGATAAACGTTGTCAGAGCCAATCATCATCTACAAATATACAGACACATATATASCTGCTTTCATACAATTTTCTATTTTTACATGTTGTGTTTCATTTTATTTATTTTTTTCTTGCATTTGAATGGAGATTTTGGATTAAGTTCATTGAATAATGTGATTGAAGATGATGAGAGATGGTAGTTGACTAAATAATATGCCTTTTGGAACTTCCATGCTTGATGATGAAGATGGAAGACACTATTCCAATTCTTATTCATGACACTTCTATAAAGAAACTTGAATTCACCAATGAAATAGTTAAAAAAAAAACTTTCTTACCATCTCATTCACATGAGGGGTAAAACAACAAGAAAGGGTTTTTGTTAAACCATGTGAAGATGTCAGTGTGTTTATATGTGGATTGAAATGTTTGTGGTAACATGTGGTATGCTACATTGTAGTAAAATATACAGACACAGACACATAGATTTGACTCCTAATCTAGTTAACAAGAAATGGATCCCAAAATAATGTAGCTAACAGCTATATATGTGTTGCATCCTGCTTTCATATATATATATATATATATATATATATATATATATATATATATATATAATAGTGTGTGAACAATGGTGTGCTACATTGTGGTAAAATAACAGAGATTTGACTCCTAAAACACAGACATAGAGTCATCACATTACTCTCCAAGGTCACAACCTCCATAACATTTACATTTTCTTCATGAGAATTGACATCTACAGTATCTTCATGAAAATTGATATGAATTGAAGAATCAATAGGATTCTTACACACACGCATTAATTTTTTTGATTTTATTCCATTAAATCATATTAATCTATAATTTAGGAATGTAAATCAATATTAATTATTTTTTGTGAAACGGTTCTATTTTAAAAAATAAAATTTAATCTTAATTTAGGAATTGACTAACATACCCTTTTAAATTGAATTAAATTGAATAATTAATATATTAAAATGATTGGTTGAGATTGAATCTTGCGGTTACCATAAACAACTCAGTTCTCCGGATACTTATATAATATATATATACTACAAAATAGTAGAAAAAATTTGAAACATAAGTCCATCCATGTGGAGAATGACACGTCATTTTGACAACATTTTATACCGTAAACAATCGATCATTGGCCGTGACCTTTGTTTTTTTAACGTCATTACAACAACATTAGTTTGCTACGACATCCAACTGGTCTATGAATAAATCAAACCGCAAGTCGTTTTCCTTGGTTAACCTTGACATTGTCTCCGGTTGTTGACAACTRCACCAAGGTTTTTGCATCAGGTTAACACCAAGTACTACTTTACATTGCATCCACCATTCGTCATATTCTATGTTTAGCATACATTAACTGTTGAATCCTCAAGGCTTTTCGGTTCTAATACATTATGTCAACCGATGAAGCGGGATTCGTTATCGAACTTGCCGTTATTGTCGTCGGTAAGTTCCTCCACCCTATAGTCTTCATGGGAGGTTTATATACATTGAATTAATGCCAATGGTTTGTGTTTTCCAGTTGTTGTGGTGAAGATAGGCATCATTGCATAYGTATGCAATCGAAGATCTAACATGCGAAAGGACCCATACGTTGAAGATTCTCGCTTTATTCCCCTCACCATGGTCAAATTCCTGGACGACATGGAGAGGGAAASACCCATCCGGTTCACCTCACAACAGCTAAGGATAGCCACAGAAAACTTCAGCATCTTATTGGGTTCCGGAGGGTTCGGGACAGTTTACAAGGGAATCTTTAGCAACGGTACGGCTGTAGCTGTGAAAGTTCTGAATGGGACATCAGACAAGAGAATTGAGGAACAATTCATGGCGGAAGTGAGCACGATGGGAAGAACCCACCACTTTAATCTCGTTAGGCTTTATGGGTTTTGCTTCGAATCAAGTTTAAGAGCTCTTGTATACGAGTTCATGATCAATGGCTCTTTAGACTACCATTTGTTYAAAGCCAAGAAAGGGGTTATCATAGGGTTTGAGAAACTCCACGAGATYGCACTGGGAACCGCAAGAGGCATCGCGTACCTGCACGAAGAATGTCCACAGAGAATAGTTCACTACGATATCAAACCAGGCAACATACTCTTGGATTCAAACTTCTGTCCAAAAGTAGCTGATTTCGGTTTGGCCAAACTTTGCAACAGAGACAAGACTCATATAACGATGACCGGAGGACGGGGTACCCCAGGCTATGCGGCACCCGAGCTCTGGTTGGCTCTTCCAGTTACACACAAATGTGACGTTTTTAGTTTCGGGATGCTACTTTTTGAGATCATCGGGAGGAGGAGGAACATGGACGAGACTCTTGGTGATAGCCAACAGTGGTTCCCGATATGGGTGTGGGACARATATCGACTCAACCAATTGAAGGAATTGATGAGAGTTTGTGCAATTGAGGACACGAAWGAACAAGTTGTKGAGAGGATGCTGAAGGTAGCTCTTTGTTGTGTTCAGTATAGGCCTGACACTCGGCCGGTGATGAGCATCGTTGTCAAAATGTTGGAAGGTGCATTRGAGGTTCCGGAGCCTTTGAATCCTTTTTCGCATTTATTTCCAGGGGTTAGTGAGGTAGGTGATTCGCTGGCTCGAACAGCATGGAATGTTGATTGGTCGTCGTCTGAAGTGCTTTCCAAAYCTACACTAGTCATGGGGACGCCTCTCATGAGGGGACATGAGATCACAATGGCCACACAGTGATAATCAAGGTTCTAAACAGTGTGGCGTGACCGCGAGGTCAAGCCTCAAGCTTCGAATGYCATGACGAGATCATGACGTTTTTTCAAGGCGTGAACTATGACAACAAGTCTCTATATCATATACAATATTATATGTTTTATACTATTACCATCAATAAATCAATGATAATAAACAATTTAAATTAAGTTTTATATATATATATATATATATATATATCGTGTTACAAAAATCAACTATTGTTTATATATTTAAACCGAAACCTAAATATACATCAAAAACCCAGATCTTGAATCAAAAACTTTGAACGAGAAAAAGATTTCATACATCAAAGAGTTAAATCGAAGGTTTTCAAACCCATTTCATGCATCAAAAACCTAGATTTGGAACCTGGAAAGCACCATCGCCATCTACAAATCATTGCCATATAAGACGAGTGACGAAGATGAAGATCCAAATCTTACCATTTCTTTTGTTTTTTTTTTATCCAAGACGAAGATGAAGATGAGGCACAGAAGGCAGCAGTTGCTGGGTGGTGAAATAGTTGGGGAAGACGAACGGGAGGCCGGCAGAGGGACTTGTGGTTCAATATAATTTTTTTTAAAATTTTTATGATATCTTTAAATTTAGATTTTATTCAAAAATAAAAACATTATCGTTTTCTCAAAACCACTAAAAACCGTACTATATCGACAAAGATATATAATAAAACAAAACATTTAAATTCAGATGTATCTCGCTATATTATACGAGTACCATTCTAGTATGTATAATATATATAATGTTAGGGACCGACTCCATAACAAAAGTAAAACCACGAGGACCTTAATCATGGATTTTAAGGTTCATGGATCTTGTTTGCAAGCGACCTTAAACCATAGGTACCGAATTTGTAGTTCACTTTTTTTTTGAATTTTTTTTTGTTAGGCCTACGTTACAAACTCATTTGAAGTAACTTAAAATCAAGATCGATCACGTTAAAGTGGATTAATAGGTTGGGTTCTGTTGAAAATGAAAATATGATGACAGGATAAAAATCACACGTTTTATTGAAAATCAATGTTAATGAGATGTATCAGATCAATTTCTGTGAAAAACAACTCATAAAATAGGTTCTTACATGATCTATGTCAAATTTATTATCTTAATATACATAAATTTGTGGATTTTATATTTTAAACAATATATACTATGCTAAAATAAAATGATATTAAAAAATCATATTCTTTCAAYTCATATGTYTTTTAAATTAAAAATAAATCAGAAGTTTTTCGGAAAAAAGAAACATAGTAATTGTAACTAGGGGCGGATCCAACCTCTCAGCACGGGGAAAGGCCCCCAGTCAAAAACAAAAAAACCTTTGTTGACTAGCTTAAATTTTTTATTTTTACCATCATCTTACGTGGTTTCCCCGGGTCTCATATATGGCCTTATGCTTCCTCCCCCAAAGTCCATCCAACGTGTCCCCACCATATGAATTATTCCTAGATCCACTACCGGTTTTAACCATCGTATATCAAATCAAATGAAACGCGTTTTCAATAAATTAAAAGGAAAAAAAACAGACAAAAACATCGTCTTCCTCGGGCAACCTTGTACTCGTCTTCCAACTCTACCAAGCAACTTTAATTAATTGCATGTAAACTCTTGCACACCAAAAACTTTGACGAAATACCGTTTCTTTCATTCAATTTGGTTTTCTAACCATCTTTCTTCGGTTTAACTCAAATGTTACTACATCCGTAATATCTAGGTCCACAACATCTAAAAGACAAAAAAAAAAGTCAAATTCAACTAATTTACCGTAGCAATTGCATACCTGATCATTACAATTGCATATCTGGTCGTCGCAATTGCATATTTGTGTTGAATTTGAATTCTTTTTCCCGTTAAGTCCACATTTTTTTATTAACTTCGATATTCAACCCTCTATGCGAGCTGACTAATCCCAGGGTGACCACCTACTTTGCAGATAGTCCGGAGTCACCGCATTTGAACCTCTGTGGTCACAAGAAGATTTTTATTCCTTTTTGAATTTGAACCTGTGACATTTTGGTACTTTTGATCTAGGAGAAAAATGCCTAAAAAAACCAATTTAAATGAAAGAAAATGGTAATTTAACTCAATAACTCCAAAAGCTTTTCAAAAAATAAATTAAATATTAAGTATTTGTTCTAGATGCATGACTGGTCACTC